CAGAACTGAATGTTTAGTTACAATTTTGAGTTGCTTGAATTTCTGGCTTCTTGATGTCAGAATGTGATACCATTTTTTTTCTAGAATGGTAGCAAGTTCGATGGTGTATTAAATGGATTTTTGTATCCTCTTTCAGTTATCAGGAGCTAGACTTGCTGCCCGAGAAGCTCATAACCGAAGATGTCAGCCTCCTCTATCTCGAACAAAGTGTGTGGAGAGGTACTGATGTATCATTTTTATTTATTATCCTGGTGTTGTTTTTCTCCCCTGTGCCTTTAAGCTTAATTTATTGTTTTTATTATGGTAAACATATATAGAAAAAAAAATTTGCCAGTTTAGTAACATTACATCGACAAAATTATGCAACCATCACCACTATTTCCAAAACTTTTCATCACCTCAAACAGAAACTCTCACCATGAAGTAATAACTCCCCATTTCACCCCTCCCCCCAATCCTGGTAATCTCTAATCTACTTTTTGTCTCTATGAATTTGACTATTCTAGGTACCTCAGATTAGTGGAATCATCCATATTGTTCCTTTTATGTATGGCTTATTTCACTTAGCATAATGTTTTCAGTCCTGGCTTATCCGTGTTGTAGCATGTGTTGGAATTTCATCCTTTTTATGGCTGAATAACATTCCATTGTGTGTATGTACCACATTTTGTTTATCTGTTCATCCATCAGCGTTTCCACCTTTTGGCAATTATGAATAGTATTACAGTACACACGGGTATATAAATATCTGTTTGAGCCCCTGTTTTTAGTTCTTTTGTATATGTACCTAGGAGTGAAATTACTGGCAATACTATGTTTAGTTTTTGGAGGATCCGCCAAACTGTTTTCCACAGTGGCTGCACCGTTTTACGTTCCCACCAGCAATGTATGAGGATTCCAGTTTCCCCACATCCTTGTCAACACTTATTTTGTTTTTTGTTTTTTGTTTTTTAATAGTCATCCTAGCAATTGTGATGTGGTATGTCATTTTGGTTTTGATTTTTTATTTCCCTAATTACTAATCATGTTGATCATCTTTTCATGTGCTTTTTGGCTAAATGTATAGCTTATTTGGAGAAATGTCTATTCAAGGTCTTTGTCCATTTTTAATGTGGTTTTTGGTTTGTTGAATCGCAGGAGTTCTTTATATGTTCTGGCTATTCCACCCTTGTCAGATGATTTGCAATTTTTTTCCTCCATTCTGTAGATGGTCTTTTCACTTTCTTGGTGTTATCCTTTGATACACAAGAGTTTTTAACTTCGATAAAGTTTAGTTTATCAAATTTTTCTTTTGTTGCTTGTGCTTTTGGTATTATAGCTAAGATTCCATTGCCAAATCCAATGTCATGAAGATTTACTGTAATGTTTCTCTTTTGAACTACTGAAAGCACCAAAAAATTTTTTTGAAAGTTATAAACATCTATTTTTTAAAATGTTCATTGTTAAAATGTTTTATTGGGTGAACTGGAATTGAGTCATAGATGTTATTCTTTGGCAAACCTGTGAAAAGAATTCATCCCTCTCCTAGGTCATAGGCATTGTACTCTGTGTGCTGGGAGAAGCTCCTTAAGAATCTCCTGGTCTGGGTTGCTGATGACAAATAGGTCTTCTCTTATGGCTGCTCCTTCTGGCTGCCCGAGCTGCTGTGTTGAGAAGAATTCTGAGGTCTTATCCAGGCTAACTGGAAAGGATTGCTGGGATCTATTACAAATGTCTTCCTGAGTTTCTTAGTAGAATTTAAAATCCTTTGATAGAGGCATTTCTTAAGATAAATTGATTGCCTCTTTACCAAAGTACTTAATCTGTGATATCTACTCAGTTTATGAGAATTCATTCAACAACAAAAAAAATTAAAACGGGAAGTAATGTAAATCGAGCACTGCTGTGAGCTAGGCACTAAGCTAGGTGTTTTACATGAGATATTGTTTAACTCTGTGGACTAGTCCTGGTCCGTGGCCTATTAGGACCTGGGTTGCACAGCAGGAGGAGGCGAGGGGCTGGCAAGCTAGCCAAAGCTTCATCTGCATTTGCATCCTCTCCCCAGCGCTAGCATCACCGCCTCAGCTCCACCTCAGGTCATCTGGCATTAGAGTCTCATAGCAGCACCGGTCCCTGGTGCCAAAAAGTTTGGGGACCGCTGATAGATATATCATAATGAGATAAAATAGAATATCGAAGATACAGAAAGTAGAAAGTAGAAAAACATTGCCCATGGTTTCTCCCTTTGCACCCATCACCTTGGCCATTCTATAGTAGTTCCTCTAGGCCTTTTTTTCCTATGCCAAAGTTTGTTTTACAAGGTTGCAGTCATAATATGTACATAGTTTTGTACTCTGCTTTATCACTTTCTTTTATCTGATAAGCATGTTTTTCGTATTATTACATATGGATATTGGTGATTTAAATCCTATAAGAAAATCTAGATGATCTTGTTTCCTTGCATGATAAAATTTTATTCTGGAGCTAAAACACTGTTCTTGTTTTTATATTGATAAAGTATGTTTTTTGATAATAAGGTCTTTGAAATTCATATTTTATGCTAATTACAATATAAAAACACTGGCTAAAATATGAATTATTAAAGAATTTCAAAAGGTTGTTAGCTTGGGTTACTTAGAGGCTGTTTACTTCACAGAATCGGAATTATTTAAAAAAGAAAAAGACAGTACATATTCAGTAAGATTCAGGGGTCATACTTTCATCTGTTATCTAGTACTGATTCTTGAGAGCATGTCTTAAAATAATTTTCAACATCTTAAATCATCTGTAACCCCTAATGTTGGATTTTGTTGCCCAAGCTACCATCGATCCATCCATCCATCCATCCATCCATCCATCCATCCATCCATCCATCCATCCATCCGTCCATCCATCCATCCAATCACTTATTCTTTCTTTGTTGAGGGATGAAAAATAACTTAAAATGCTAATAGTTGAGATATATTCAAAGGTTATACAGTGCAAAGAAGAATGTCGACACTCGTAGAAAAGACTGAGTGCTCTGGAAAGACAAGCGTTACAGCTAACTTGTGCCTTTGCTGTTCAATACATTGTAAGGACATGGTATTTAAAGAGGTTTTAGAGGATAAGTGGAAGTATTAGTTTTTTGAAATATAATATCATTGATTTCACAGCTTTACTTTGTAATTGATGCTGTTATGATTTCTCACATGCTTTCTATGGAATAAAAAGTTTGAAATCAGTCATTCCTTTAAAAATTTAAAATTTTGGCTTTTTAAAATCAAAGGCTTATGAAATTATGTATTTTCTGTTAGTGTCTTCAATTTAAAATTAGCAGTTCATTCTTTTATGTAAATAGATCTAAGGATGGTGTGATTGTGTTTTCTAATTTAACATCTCATTTATAAGTTATTAAACAATTACTATATTTGAAAGTGTTAAAAGTATTTAAACATTATACCTATTCCATGATGCAGACTTCATCTGCTCTTGTGGAATAACGATAGCTTTTCACTGACTAATTTATTTTTGAAATTGTCAGGAATAATAATGCTAGCATGATAAATTGACCTTTGTTACTTGAGTTTTATTATAGAATGGACAGTGCTGCACAGACTTCTAGGTTCTGCAGAATAGGATTTGATATTCATTTTTCTAATCTCACTCTTTGAATCATGCTTTATATTTCACATGTGTTTAGTTGACAGATTTACATTTCGTGCCTGAGATTTGACTTCCCTTATAGTTTTAGGCTGCCTGTCACGCTCTGAAATGTGTTATTCTGTTATGTACTACATTGGCACCTTTATGGTGACCTATGAAGTCTTCAGGAAGATGTTTTAATGATAAAATCAGTATTAATTTACGTGCATCCAGATAGTTTTGTTTGGTTGATAATTCATTTGGTTATGTTTTTTTCAGAGCTCATTTAAACTCAGATTTTCAAGGTCTGCTATTAGGGAAATGCTGTAAACATAATTTGTCTACTCCAGGAAAGGCAAATGGAACATCAAATGGAGATCAATAAAAATGACATTTCAAAATGCTAGCCTGCAATTTATGAATCATGCTGAGCCATGCGCCAGAATGAGTTTCTTTTCCCCCTGGGGTATGTGTAGTAAGTACAAATAAGGAGGGAGCACTGAGTAATTCTTAGTTCTTCATACTCTTATGTTCTTCCTACCAAACTTTAAAAACCTTGTGTCCAAATATTAAATTTAAAGAGGTATAGTGGAATGATTTTGGTGTGATTTGGAATAGAGAGAAATATACCCACGATCTCAGTTTATCTTTTGTCAAGAGAAGTTTGATAAGCAATAAAGCTTTCTAAAGGATAATTTTGACAAGACACAGAGATATATAAGTGGAGGTTTATTTAACAGTGTTCTTACACTTAGTGCCTATAGTGCCTTTAGATATAGTGCCTGTATAGTGAGAGAATTGTCACACTAGCCCCTCATTGCCTTGAACTTTGTTTCATCTCTTCCTGGTGATTTTGCAGCTTCTGCCTTTAGCTGGCATCATAGAACCTGACACAACTTCATCTGCTTGGAGATCTTCCTTCTCTTTCCAATAAAGCCCATGATTATTGTTATCATTCAACAATGACTATTTACTTCTCTAATATCAAATGTATGTTCTGTCGCTCTCTTTTGGGGCCTGACTGCATGTACAGTAACTTTGCGTTTCGGGCCTGCATCGTAGGGTGGTGGCAGTGGCACTCCGCCTGCACTTCCTGCCGTGCACAGTACAGCATCAAAGAGATGACAGCGTGAAGAGCTGGGACCAAGCTCACACATAGGTGGATGGTCCCAGCTGCGTCGTGACCTCCGTCCGACTGATGGCAATTATAAATCATATCTCAATATCATAGAAGCTAAAATGTGAAAAAATATGCTTCTTAAACTGGTGAAATAGGGTGGTTGGGTTTTGTTTTGTGATCTGATCCAATAGGCTTTTCCATAATGCACAGAGTTAGTGCATTTTCATAGTGGTATAACAGATATGCTTGGTCTTAGTTTTGCTGTATTATTATATGCTTTCTGTTTTTATTGCTTTTTGCTCTTTCACTATATGGTCTGTGTTTTCTTTGCTGTTCTTATTTTAATTTATATTTCTTCTATATTTTTGTTTTAATAGTTACCTTCGTAACTTTCTATACCATATTTCATCCTTTTATTTTTTAGTCTTCATCCATTTAAAAATGACAAATGATAAACCTAGTATATTTCTTTTTCCTATCTCTTTTTCTATAATCACTGTCTGATTTTAGTTTATTATTTTTTAGGGTTAACTTTTACACCTTTGAGAATTACTTATAGCTCTTTTACTTGATTTTTCAGTTTTAAATGATATCTTTTGCCCTATGGCTTTAAAATATAAGAAAATCAGTATGTTTACACAATCTGACACTTCTCATTCTCTTCCCTAACCACCTTTATTTGAGTTTATATTACTTACATTTTGTATTGTAATTATAGTACTCATACGTATGTCCGTTTTTATTCTGTGGTCAAATGGGTTCCGTGCTTACTGACAGCCCCTTGTCTGTAGTCCTTTCATTCATCTTCTATTGGGCTGAAATTCTTCTTAGTGGTTTTTATTTTTTAAATAAGTCTTTTATTAGTAAAAAAATTTAAATAAAAATTTATATATGGATTTTGTTAACTAATGTCACCATAAAAAAAAGTAAAAATAAAAAAAAAAACAAAATAAAGCTTTTGTGTTTCAAAGAAAAAAAAGTTTATATGTGGCTATTATATGATTCCATTTATATGAGATGTCCAGAATGGGCAAATCCATTATATATAATGGAGGTGTGAGTATATTAAGTAGTTTTTAGAGGCTGGGGGTGGGGGTAATTGGAGAGTGACTACTCATGGGTACAAGGTTCTGAGGTTTCTTTTTAAGGTGATGAAAATGTTCTGGAATTATATTGTGATGGTTGCACCATTTCGTGAATATTCTAAAAACCACCGAATTATATACTTTAGAAGGATGATTGTATGATCTATGAATTAAATTTCAGTAAAGACATGTGTATGTAGCAGTAGAATCAGATAGTTCTATGAGGTTTTACAAAGATCAGCGCTCCTGTCTCCACCCATGCATTTTCCCATTCCCAGAAGCAATCACAGTCAGCTCTTCTGGCTCATTCTTTTAGAATTTACCTTCCTATCCTTGAAATACAAAACATGCATGTCTTCCTACTTCGTGATTTATCAGTTTTTGGAATTGTCTGTTTATCTCACATGAAAGATGAGGATTTATCTTTCCCTCCTCTCTGCCCTCTCCCTTCCACACACCTTCCCCACCTCCTGCTATAATCCTTGCCCTTTTCATACCCCATTTTTATATGTTTAGATCATGATTTTGATTAGATTCAGAATTTAGTATTTGCATTATTATAACCGTATAAATGCTGCTCATAGCTGAATGTTAAATAAATCATAATAACTTCTTTCCTACACAGCTTTTTGTTTTCCTTGGTGTTAATAACTGTCTTGGACTTTTGTTGTAGTTGCTATTAGCTATTTATGTGCTTATCACTGATTCAGCTGCAGACTCTGCGAGTTGTCTGAATCCTTTCAGAACATTCAGATATAGCGTAATCTAGTCATTTCATTTTCCTAGAGAAATCCGTCCTGGGGCTTTTAGAAATGCTCCGATCTGGAGGTTGCCCTTTCTACCCAGCTGTCCAGTCAGGTATTTATCACTAAGGACCCAGCTCATATCACTATCTAACCTGAGTTCTTCCAAGTCCAAAATGAGGCAGTCATTCATGATAGAGATTCTCAGAAAACTAGGACTGCATGAGAACTTCCACAACCTGGTAAAGGGCATCTAAGAAAAACCTGTAGCTAATACCGTACTGATAAAAGGCTTAGTGTGTGCCTCCTAAGACTGGGACACAGCAAGGATGTCTGCTTTTACTGATTCTATTCAACAGTGGTTGGAGATTCTGAACAATTTTATGAGTCTAGATTCAGGAATAGGATTGGACTGAAAAATATAAAAATTACTGGGGAGAGAGAGAAACCACATTTATATGACTTTTATTATAATATATTGTTATAATCGTCTATTATTAGTTATCGTTGTTAATCTCTTTTTGTGCCTAATTTGGAAACTAAACTTTACCATAGGGATGTATGTATAGGAAGAAAACATGATAGATCTAGGATTCCATACTATTCGTGGTTTCAGGCATCCCCTGGGGGTCTTGGAATGTATCCCCCGGGGGAGGTACGTAAGCTGGGCAGTTGTACCCATCACTCATTTGTTCCTTTCTCTTATTTTTTACTGTTTGGGTTGCCAGTTGTCCAGTACCTTAAAACTCTGGTTTCATATGTTTTAAGTCTATGGCCATGAGTCTGCGGCCATGCTACCCTGAACAAGCCCGATCCTGTCTGATCTCGAAAGCTAAGCAGGGTTGGGCCCAGTTAGTACTTGGAGAGGAGACCACCTAGGAAGACCAGGTGCTATAGGTGTAAAAAATAAAATAAAATTAAAACATAAGGGATTATAAACTGACAAGGTCTTTGCAATCTGTGAGGTCAACCAAGGGTTGCCTCGCCTAAAAAGATAAAAAATAAATAAAAAATGTTTTGAGGGCTAGGATGGTAAATCTGGTCTCTGTTACTGTATCATTGCTGGATGTGGAAGCCTTCGACACACAACATTTAATAATGAAAGGTAGCAGTAGCAAACTTGGTATATCTGTTGCTGAAGAGTGTACTGATTCTTTCTGCTTGCATTTCACATCTGAGGGGTCCTTTTCTCCACTGACATTCTTTCTTTGAATTACAATGAAAGTTTCTCCTAATACCGCTCTCCTCCTCCTTTCCAGTCATAGATAAAGCTGTCAAAAGAACAGTTATCACAGGAATAGAAACATAAATTACTGGCACGATAAGCTTATTTCTTGCTTTAGCCATTCAGAATATCTATTTGTCACTGCCTTCAGTGCTTTGAAGTGAAACTGTGCTTAGAAATAAAGTTTTAAAACCCACTTTGATTCCTTGTTAAGTTCACAGTTTTTACAGTGCAGTTTGAGGGTTTTGTTCATTTGAAACCAAATGACTCTTCTCAAACTCTAAGAATCTGTTAGCATACAATTTGACATGCTTAGATATAGACATTCCTGACCTTCTATGAGGTTCAATAATCTTATTTATTTTTCTTTCGTTTTCTTACTCTGATTTCATAGCTGGTATAGCATATACAAAATCAGCAGTTTTTAAAACACACTAACCTTGATTATTTTCTCTCTTTAATCATCTCTAATAAAATGAAAAAAAAAAGGGGGGGTGCGGACAAAACCCAAAGTGGTGACTTTGAAATCAGTTGTAAGGATGACTTGAAAGAGATCAAATAGAATATCCGAATTTTTTTTTTTTTTTTTTTTTTTAAGGCTTTGAATACCATCTTGCTGTTTTGGGGATAAACTTCTCAGAACTGCCTCCATCAGTATTGCTAAGAATAGAGGAACTTTTAGAAACATTTTTTTCTTTTAGGAGGTAATTTTTCTTGCTAGGTATGTCATAAAAACTTGAAGAATGATAGTATTTTTTCATTTTAAAATGACTCATACTGAGCCATACTGTTTAACACTTCAGAGTTAGAGCACGTGGATTTGTCAATACATTTAAACATGATAGTAGTCTCCATTACTGCTAAGCTGTTTGAGTAATATATTATATTCACATTTTAAATGGATATTGATCTTCATTCAGTGACTGAATTGGAGCATCTCAATTCTTATGAAATTGCTGATTCTCTTCCACTTTGTAGGCATGCAGCCAGATATAAATTCTAGACAACAGTCCACAGATTTTTCTTACCTTTGCTTCTTTATGCAGTACTCTCTAGGAAATAATACTTTTTGCATACTAAAAATAGCAAAAATAAATTGTCCTTAAAACAACAAACTTAAAATATATTCTTTTATGTTTTATTGTGTCTTGAAGGTACTTGAAGTTCATTGAGTTGCCGTTGTCTCAGAGGAGGTTTTGTCAAGAATGTCAGCAATTGCTTTTGCCAGATGATTGGGAGAAACATCTTGAGCATCAGGTAGTAGGTGATATTTCTATCACCCAGTTAAAAAGGCCCAGTCAGCTCCTCTATCCATTGGAAAACAAGAAGACAAATGCCCAGTATTTGTTTGCTGATAGAAGTTGTCATTTCTTGATAGACTTACTTTCTACTCTTGAGTTCAGAAGAGTACTATGTGTTGGAACACCAAGGTATGGATTTTTAAAAATCTTTTCCTAGCACCACTATTTAAATTGTAAGAAAAAATTCTCAAGTTCCAGGATTTAGCATAAAGCTTTGCACATACAAGGCAGTATAAAGCACGGTCCCTCTTAAAGAGTTTGCTGTCTGTATTCCATTTGAGAGAGACCTTTATTGATTTCTGATACGTGTTAGGAGATTCTTTCTGATTTGATTCTTAAATTGCTTATAATTTAAAATTTTTCTGTTTCAGATAAGTTTTGCCTTTTTAAAAATATTTGCAAAACTGAAACTCTGATTATATCTGCAAAATTCTCTTAAGTGTTTCATTGAAATATTAGAAATATCAGGAGAATATTTATTGTGGTTTTTTTATTTGCTTATTATCTATGGCATTTGTAATGTCTTATGAAATTTGCTTTCATGAGTTGCTTTAGGTTGCATGAGTTGATCAGGTTGAAAGCATCTGGTGACAAGAAGTCCAACATTAAAAGCCTTTTATTGGATATTGATTTTCGGTAGGTTTATAAAGTATAATACTTATTCTCCTTCATTGTCTCCTGTTTCTTTTTAATGTTTTCTTCTTTCTAATTGTTTATTACACTGTTATAATCCTAATTAACATTTAGAAATAGTAATTGGTTATAAAGCACTTTTTTCGTCCCATGTAATCTTCCACATTTCAAACAGAGAGGCAGTAGATTTCTCTTTGCTAGTATGCTTCCTCAGCTTTCTCTGTGAATGTGTCTAGTTGTCTCTGATTTATAATCTAGAGATAAATTCCTGTTGAGTGAAATTTCTTCCCATATACTTATTTTCAAAGATAATTCTGAACTTTCATCATGTTTTAACTGTGATAAGACATTTAATACTTTTACCAGATGATGTACATGTGGTCTTTCACTGGCGTGAAGGGAGAAGGGAGTGGCAGCTAGAGAACAGATAGGTCCCAAAGCAGAGGGTTAGCAAACAGCTGAGCTTTTTGCGGGAGAGCTTCAGAATTAAACGGCATCTGACATGTTGAGATAAAGAGAGATGAGACAGAAAGAGAACCACATGTTGAATCTCTCCTCTGGTGGTAATTTAGAAGATACAAACCTTTTATTTATAATTCTAGATGGCAAATATGTCCATCCACAGTCGCTGATTCTGTAAATTCCAATTGCTCTTCCTAGTTTCTGTAACCGAATTCTGGGGGTTCACAGTGAGTCTGTAAGACACCATGTTCTTAGTATCTTTTACTTGTTCTTGAATGTATTGAAGGAATCAGGCTTTGTGTTTCTTTTTATTTAATCTGCTAGAGTCTATTTGGCCAATATTCCAGTATTTGTTGGAGAGAGTCTATGAAATGGCATATGTTTTTTCTCACTAAAAATAAGGCAGACAGACTTTTAAAGTGTTAAAGTCACAATAATAAGTATAGTGTTTATAATTTATTTTTTAGATTTCCAGGTCACCTTCAGGTTGTCTAAAATAAGCAGCTATGTTTCTCAAAAATAACCCATACTTTCTGAACCATACACCCCTTATTAAGAGAGCTAGCACGTTTACTAACAGCGGCTTGATGTAAGTGATGCTCTGCCAAATGGGTCCATAAATGACAATGCTGAATTCTTCTTAAAGATAAACTCAGGTTTTTTTCTAAACTGAGATATTATTCACTTAAAAGTTACTATTTCAGAATGTGTATTTCAGCAGTTTTTGGTATATTCACTGTGTTTTTTAACCATTACCACTATTTACTTCCAGAATACTGAAAAGAAACTCCTTACTCACTTCCCCTGACAACCACTGATCTGCTTTTTGTCTGCATGGATTTGTTTATTCTGGATATTTTATATAAACAGAATCATACAATGTGTGGTCTTTGTGTCTGACTTCTTTCACTTAGCATAATGTTTTCAAGGCTCATCCACAGTACTTCATTCCTTTTATGGCTATATAATATTCCATCGTATAGGTGTATTAATTGCTTTTTTTAACTATATAATATTCCATCGTATAGGTATATTAATTTCTTTTTTTAACTATCATGGTTTTTCCCCCCGAAGTATTATTATTGTTAAATTATTATAAATATATTATTTTAAAGGTAGAAGTTTAATTTTGGGGTTCTTATTATAACAGTGTTAATAATAACTGGTATTTATTGTGTGCTTGTCTTGTGTTAAGCCCTGTTATGACTCATTTGGTCCTCACAATAGCCCTATAAGATAGATGCTTTTATCATTCTCATTTTCCAGATAAAAAAACTGAGTTATGAAGAGGTTAAATAACTTGACCAAAGTCACAATTAGTTGTGCCAAGTCAGGATTCAAACCCAGTCTGGCTCCAAAAATTAAGTTATTTTCTGGAAATAACTCTGCTTTTGAAAGTATGTATAAGCCTTTCTTACGCAGCCCATTTCCCTCATCATTCTTCTGTTTTCTCTTTCTGTATCTAATTCCCTGCCATGTTCCACAGTGGTTTTCAAATGAGTTAATAACTGGTTTCCAGATTATTCATATATTTAGGGTAAGACATTCATACTACTCAGGAATATTTCTTTCATTAGAGTCCTGAAAATTCATTTCTATCAAAGAAGATGTGTTGGCTCATATTACTGGAGTCTAGGATACAGCAGGCCAGTCAAGATCCTGGGCCTCAGACAATGTCATTAGGGCTCCCCTCTCTCTCTGCCTCTCGTCTGTCTTCCTCTGTGTGCTGGCCTTGTTTTACACACAGCTTCCTTCAAACTGCCAGGGACTTTGGCCGGCAGCAGCTTTAGCTCACACAGTCTCAACTGCCTTGTGGAAAGAGGCCATCTTTCCTGAGAGCTCCAGCAGCAAAACTCCAGGAAGTACCCTGTTTAGCTTGGCTGGAGTCTTGTGCCCATTCCAGAACCAACACTGTGGCCTCGCGTGTAGGGTGTCCTGGCCAGCCCCTGACCAACCACACAAAGTGGGTTCTCCATAGGAAATAGGTGTTCGACTGAAGGAGAGGGAGACAGGTGCTGGAGAAACCAACCAACCAACCAACAAAAAATCCTATGTCTACAACTGAATTCTTTAAAGCAACATGTATCAGTTGTCAGGAGCTCTAAAATTCCTACCTTTGGTACTTTACTACAGTGAAAATAGTACAGTGGTTCTTTAAAGTTACATTATAAATTATATAATGATCATGATTTCATTAAAGACAAGCTTTTTCAAGCTAGCCGTGGTGGACTGGTTTATACTTAAGGGAACTAGAAAAAAAATCATAGTGTTTCATCTCAAAGAACTTGTTCAAATTCCAAGGATCCCTGGTTTACTTTTTTTTCCTTTTTAAGGAAACATGATCTTTAATTCTGTCACCCAAAACATCCTAGATTTTGGCTTTTTAGAACTTTCTATGCATATAAAATTTTTAAAAAGTAGAATCATAACATACAGTCTTTTTGTTTTACTTGCTGTATTTTAGGTATATTTCTTTTTTTTTAATTGAGATATATTTCATATATATAAAACAGTGGTTTTTAATATTCACAAGGTTGTATAACCATCTCCACTATCTAATCCCAGAACATTCCTGTCACCTTTGAAAGAAACACTCTTCCAATAACCAGTCTCCCTTCATTTAATCCTCTCCTAAGCCTTGGCCATCACTAACCTACTTTCTGTCTCTATGGATTTGCCTATTATGGATACTTTGTATAAATAGAATCATATAATATGTGGCCTTTAGTGTCTGGCTTCTTTCACTTAGCATAATGTTTTCAAGGTTCATCCGTGTTGTAGCGTGTGTCAGCGCTTCATTTCTTTTTATGGCTGAATAATATCCTGTTGTATGGATATACCAAATTTTCTTTATTCGTCAGTTAATGGGCACTTGGGTTGCTTCTGTTTTTTGGCTATTATGAATAATGCTGCTATGAACTGTTGTGTACACGGTTTTTCATGAACATATGTTCATGCAAACATATATTTCATATTTCTTGGGTATTGTATTTGTTTGCTAGGCTGCCATAACAAAATACCATAGACTGGGTAGCTTAAACAACAGAAACTTATTTTCTCACAGTTTGGAGACTAGAAGTCCAAGATCAAGGTGTCAGTAGGTTTGGTTTCTCCTGAGGCCTCCTGGCTTGCAGATGGCCGCCTCCTCATTGTGTCCTCACCTGGTCTTTCCCCTGTGGGTGCACATCCTGTGTGTGCAGATTTCCTTCCAAAACTTAGTGCAAAGCAACAGTCATATTAGGGCCCACTGTAGTGACCTCATTTTAACTTGATCACTTCTTTAAAGGCCCTGTTTCCAAATACAGTTACATTTTGAGGTACTGGGGGTTAGGGCTTCAACATATGAATTAGAGGGGATACAGTTGAGGCCATAATAGGTACCTACCTAGGAGCAGATTTCCTGGGTCATATGATAACTCTGTATTTAACTTCTTGAGAAATCGCCAAACTTTTCCAAGGTGACTGCATTTTATTGATGGCTGATGATGTTGAGCATCTTGTCATGTGCTTATGGGCTATTTGTTTATCTTTTTGAAGAAATGTCTATTCAATTCTTCATGCATTTTTTAATTATTTATCTTTTTATTGTTGAATTGTAAGAATTCTCAGTGTATTCTGGATACTGGATACTAAATCAGATACATGATTTACAAATATTTTCTTTCATTCTGTGGGTTGTGTTTTGACTTTTGATAAAGTCCAATTCTTTTTTTCTTTGGTTGCTTGTGTTTTGGGTGTCATATCTAAGAAACTATTGCCTAATCCAAGGTCATGAATATTTACACCTGCTTTTTTCTAAGAAGTTTTAATTTTAGCTCTTATATTTAGATTATTGATTTAATTTAACTTTTATATATGGCTTGAGGTGGGGGTCAGCATGGTGATATCCATTTGCCTTGGTACCACTTGTTAAAGTGATTATTCTTTTCCCGTTGAATTGTCTTAGTACCTTATTGAAAACCAAATGACCATAGATATATGGGTTTATTTTTAAACTCTAAATTCTATTACATCGATCTATGTTTATCCTTATGCTAGTCCCACACAATCTTGATTATTGTTGCTTTGTAGTACATTTTGAAATTGGAAAGTGTGAGTCTTCCAACTTTATTGTTTTTCAAGATTATTTTGGCTATTGTGGGTTCCTTGCATTTTCATATGAATTTTAGGATCAGTTTATCAATTTCTACAAAAAAGCTAGCTGGGATTTTTATAGAGATTGCATTAAACTTATAGATTAATTTGGGGAGTATTACAATCTTAATATTAAGTCTTCCAATCTATAGACATGAGATGTCTTTCCATTTATTTAGTTCTTCTTTAATTTCTTTAAAGTATATTTCATAATTTTCAGTGTACAAGTCTTATACTTTTTTCGTTGAATTTATTCCTATTCTTTTCGTTGCTATTGTAAATTAAATTTTCTTAATTTTGTTTGTTTATTCATTGCTAGTGCTCTGATTTACTTTAAAAAGTTGTGTGGTAAAGTACTCATAGCATAAAATTTACCATGTTAATCGTTTTTAAGGATACAGTTCAGTGGTGTTAAGTAAAGTTTATTCACATCATTGTGCAACCATTCTCCAGAACTCTTTTCATCTTACCTCATTTACATTTAATTTGAAAGATTTAAATGGCCCCTTAACTCTTTTACCCTATATGCCATACCTTGTAGCTTCACCTTTCTTGAGCCTGTAATTGAATTCTTTGGTCAGAGTAGGAAGTAAGAGATATGGATAAAGTTCTTTTATAACTATGGAAGACACTAATTTTTTTTTCTTTTTTTGTCTATAAACCTCTGTATGTGTGTGTATTGCAAAAAAGGCTGAAGGTGTTGTACTAAGGATATTCTAGCTTAGTTTTTTTGATAACTTACTGTTACTGAGTCAGTGCTACAAAAAATCAACATTGAGTGGTAAGAAGGCTAGTTTATTGAAACATATGAGTAGCCAGAATGAACTCTGTTGCCTGTAGAGTATGATGGAGTATGTAGTTGGTTTAGATTTCTCACGAGGACCACAATTAAATCAGGAAAAATTCCTGCGTGATATGGGAGTGAATGGTTACTTTTGGCACTTGGACTTTGGTCTATTGTTGCCCTACAACAGGTCTGTCTAAGGCTGCAGAGAACTGCCTCAACTCCAGTGTTCTGTGTAGATGTGCTGTAAATATCCTTTTCTGGGGGTCTAAGATACGAAGTTAACATTTGGTAAAATGGATTTCTGTATGCTCTAATTTTAGCATAAAATGTGAAACTCTATTTGGCAAATTATCATCCAAATAGAGTTATATCAAAAAAATAGATTTGGGTGCATTTCATGAACTGATTTTATTCAGCTCTTGATTATGTTTCCTTTGTGCCAGGGCATGTTTCACACTTGGTAACTGACTCATTTAAAGAGAACGAATGGCCAAACTAAATGAGTGTCCTTTTGAGGAGTTTTCAAGTGCATGCATTTCTGATTGGTTTTGTTTGCCTTATTCAGTGGAGAGAATAATTCTTTGTGGCCAATTCCATTTTAAGAGGGTAATGTCGAGTGATTTTTCATAATTTAAAATATGAATGTTTGTATCGATGGAAAATTAGAGCTGAAATCTAGGCTTTTTTCTCTCTCTGGCTCTATCCACTGCTGTCCAGAAAGTTTTGGACAACTGTGCTGTTTTGAATTTTATGTAAATAAAATTTTCTCTTTTAATTTTAAAAAATGACTATTGTGTCATTGTGAAGCAATAAAAAAATGGAGCCATGGTAGAAATAGATTTAAAAAGGGATTTTTTTCTTTTTGCTTATACAAAGCAATGGAAAAAAGAAGAAAACCTTCAAAATATAGCTGATTCACAGCTGTACTAGTATATATGTATATATAATCAGTTATGTGGAATTTAGTTCAATAAGAAGATATTTATTCATGGTAATTGACATTGTCCCACAGTTTTTGAGATGTTCATTAAGTATATAGTTTAAATATTTTTCAGTTATCCAAACCTTTGGTTATTTCTTCAATGCAAACTTACATTTTATGAAATCAGCAGATGTACTAACAGTATCTTAAATAATATTAGGGAGTATTTTACTGAGAATGGTGGACAGCTGTTCTTCCATCTTCACAGAGCAAAAAGAAATGGATTTAGATTATGGGGGGGGATTTTGTTTGGACATAAACATAATTCCCTAATATTAGGGACATGAAGACAAATCTTTACAGCTGGTATTTTTTAAAATAATGATACCTAACATTTCATTATTGCTATGTAGTTGGGATTGTGTGAAGCACTTTATATATATTATCTCATTTATTCTTACCCAGTCCTATGATGTAGAAACTACTACATTTCTCATTTTGTAGATGAAGAAACTGGGGCTCCGATAGGTTAAATAACTTAGTAACATTACACAGCTAATTAGTGAGAGACTCAGAGTTTGAAAATAGACCCTCTGACTATAGAGCCTGTGCTCTTAATCACAGTGTAATAGGAAGAGGATAAGCAGGGGTTGTCCATTATATTAAATACTCCCATGGATGATAAATCAATTATAGACAGTAATGGATAACTGAGAATAGAAATAGACACAATGAAGTGATACTATCATGATCTGGTTGAAGAAGTCATATAAGTAAGGATGTGTCCCTGATTTTTTTCATTCTTTATGTAGAAGGTGGTGTGATTCATATGTAAGTTGTTTATAACAAAATTGGCAAAGTTTAAAATCTTACTGAGGTAAAAAAGGTTTCTGTAATATATCAAAAACTCAGAAATCAGCAAGAAAGACATTAAGACTCATTTGCATAAATGGAGAAAACAGAGACAGCACAAATACATTTAAGGAATAAAGAAATCTCAGTCTTGTAAGAAATCAAATGCAAATATAACCATAATTCAGTATGAATTTTGCCTAGTAAATTTGCAAAAATTAATGTTAATATCCAAAGTAGGTACTCTTATTTATTGCTGATAGCATTTTAAAGTAGTGTGTTACTACATCTGAAACCACTATAATATTGTATGCCAATTGTAATTGAAAAACAAACTTAAAAATCTCAGTCTTGTAAGAAATCAAATGCAAATATAACCATAATTCAGTATGAATTTTGCCTAGTAAATTTGCAAAAATTAATGTTAATATCCAAAGTAGGTACTCTTATTTATTGCTGATAGCATTTTAAAGTAGTGTGTTACTACATCTGAAACCATTATAATATTGTATGCCAATTGTAATTGAAAAACAAATTTAAAAATATTTTTTTTTAAATAAAAATAAATTTAAAAAACTTTTTAAAGTAGTATTAGAAGAATAAAATGATTCAATCTGTAAGTAAATATCCCCTCTTTCCTGGCACTAATTCAATACCTATGAAATGCACATACTTCCTTTTTTAATATATTGAGAAGCATATTTTATAAAGCTAATCTGAAATAGGTAAGCTTTGTTTCAAATACTTTTGTTGTTAACCACACAATATATAGCAATTAACGGCTATTGAGCAGAAATTTGATTCACTATTTTTCTTAAAATTATTAACTAAGAGATATATTTTAATTACCAACCCATCTCAAGCTTAAACTGTATAATAATCTCTCAGTAACTTGATTGTTTATGTATACTGGCCCATAAGAACATGTATATTCTTTATATGTAGTTTTGCCACTGATTTTTCAAACTTGGGAACATAATTTTTAAGTTCATTATTCATCAACCACTGTTACTGACTCTCTGAGATTTTGAGGAAGTATTCTTTATTTCAGAAAACTAAAGAATGATGAAATTGACTTTATTTAATGTGTGATTTCATAGTTTTACATTATAGTTTACATTTATTTACTGTACAGCTGTGACTGGACAAGTATCTTCAGTAATAAACAAATTATTTTACAGGTATTCACAGTTTTATGTGGAAGATAGCTTTTGCCATTATAATATGTTTAATCATCACTTCTTTGACGGAAAGGTAAGAATTATGACCATTATCTCTTCTCTCGTTGTGGAAGAACAAATTCAGGAGTACCTTCTTTGTTATTTTTCTAAAGTCCTTCAAGATCAAATTGTGGCTGTTTCCGTGTTTATTGACATTGATTTTTGTTCATTCACTGAGTATATTGAGCATCGGAGAAGTGATCACGTCAGTCCTCTTTTGTGACTTTTAACTGCTTTTTAGATAAAGACCCACTTTTCTTACCAAGGCCCCTGTGGCTCTGTAATCTGGCCCAGGCCGCTCTCCAGCCCCTCTTCTCCCTGTTCCTGCTTTGTTGTTTGTGTTCAGGGCACACGATATTCATCTCAAACTGGTCTTTCCCCAACAGGGGCTTTTACCCATGCTGTTCCCTCTGTGTTCTACTCTCTCTTTGCCTTGGTAAAGTCACTTAATCCCTCAGAGCTCTGTTCCACGTCTTCAGTCTCCCTTGAGCCCCAGACAAGGTCACGTTCTCCTTTGTAGATTTACAATACTGTAGTTAAATAGTTCTGTGGTTAGTATTGTTTGGTGTCTGCCTCCCTGATAAATTTCATATCCCAGTTAGGGGGATTTATGGTTTTATTAAAATAATCCTTTAAAAACAGTGTCAAGAGTGAACCCTAATGTAAACTGTGAACTCTGGGTGATAATGATGTGTCAGTGCAGGTTCATCAACACGTAACAAATGTCCCCTCTGATGGTGGATGTTGATAATGGAGGAGCCTGTGTGTGTTTTGGAACGGGGCATATGTGGGATTTCCCTGTACCACCTTCTCAATTTTGCTGTAAACCTAAAACTACTCTAAAAAATAGTCTTAAAAAAAGATAGTGGCTTAAAAAAAAAAAGCTGCTTTCAATACGATGTTAATAATGTCACTGGGAATAAAACAACATAGCAGAGCTGATACTTCTACTATTACAAAATAAAAACTATAAGCAATCAAGTAATCACACCTGACAAGAGATTTTGAATTTGAAAATGTTTTGAAATTATCAAGATTATTTGAAGCATATATATGTTTGTGTATATCAATTTTTTTAAAAATTGCAAACCATACTTATCATATATTGTACTTTAAGATACTAGCTCATGATAGAATGAAAGCCAAGCAAATTCTAAATTGTTGGTTGAGATTGAAAAATGAGTCTCCTGATTTAGTAAGTACAGCCAACGATGTACTCCTCCTATCAGAATCTGTTTAGCATTGTGATACATATTTTTCAGCTGTGATAGCCATGAAAACCAGGTATTGAAATAAATAACAGTTAGAATTAGATGTATTTCTTCATTTCCCAAAGGGCTTATTTAGTGTTGATAATCACTAGGATTTGAAAACTGATTAGATTATCATGAAGGAGAGAAATCGAAAAATCACTTGATAATAAATGTTGAGGGACTCTTCATCTAGGATAGTGGCAGTGGGTTAGAGAGGAAACAAGTAGATTCTGGCATTTCACAGATGGAAACAGGAAGACTTGGCGTAATCATTATGTTGTACACCTGAATTTTAAAAAAAAATCATACCTCATTTAAAAAATAGAAAGACATGATCAGTGTACTGGGGGAGACATCAGAGAAAGCTGACTTGGTGGTGAGACCTGGATCTGTATTTCACCCTTCGAAACAGAGGGTAGGGAAGTTTGGAAGTGAGGTTTGGAAATGTTTTTTGTGGGGCTGGTGGAATGTTGAAGTGGAAGTGTCCAGTATGGCCTCTTGAAACTGTGGGGCCTTGAGCTCAGGGGTGCTGTCTGAGCTGGTGGCATAGACAAGGAAGTAACTGAGTTATATTATTGCTTGATGCTGCAGCGGTGGGTCAGGGTCTACTTAAGTGATTTTAATACCATACCAGGATTTTGCTGCTTATTTTGAATAATAATGAAAAGATAAGTATAAAATTACATTTAAATCCCTAATAGTTGGCTAGCAATTTCATATATTTTAAGAAAGTAACATGCAGTCAACCTTTTTTCTAGGAAACTCTATGTAACTTTTATTGGAATTTTATAGAAATACCTTATAAGTTTCTGGAATAAGGGTTGGAATAAACTGCCAAACCTGAGCTTCACTTACCTTTCCCAGCAGGAAACAGTCATCAGCTCAGGCTGTCCCCTCTCTATATTTTAGGAACAGCCTCTAAATAGCACTGCAACTATAGAGATTGATATACAGAAAACTGTTGCTTTAATGATTTTATTATTGGCCCTTTTTCTACTTCCCAAGATTTTCAGTAGAGGTTACCATCTGCTAGTCAATCACTGAGTATTTGTCTCCTTGGAGCCTGGGGAGGTGTGCAGGGTGCTGCCTTGAGGCTATACGCCTCTGTCACTGCACATATGCCCTTTACGGTCTGCTCGATTGAAAAGCAGGAGTTTCCCGCACAGGATTTTTTCATAGTAAATAATAGAGTCTTTTGGATGACAAAAATGTCATATGCCTTAATGGTAAAGGGGGTTAAAGTATGTATAGAACGTGGCTATTTAAAATGCCAAGCATGTTTTTAGTGATGACTGAGATGCAGAAAAGAGTTGTTACTGTTGACTTTGGTGGCATTAAGCAAGCATGTTTCCCATAGGTGGTCAACGTTAGGGCCCTTAGCAATGCATGACGGGACTTTACGCCATTGATTCTTTAATGTTTTTTAAATCTGGTTAAGCGTTTATTCTTAGGCATAGTTTACTTGTTTATTTTCTTTTTTTCTGCTTTGAACTCTAAAGAATTTGAAGGTTTTTCAATAACATCATCTGTACCTTTCGGTCCTTGTTCTCATAGGCAGGTTAAGAAAGTACTAGGCAGCACTTGAAAAATGATTAACCTTCTTGACATACTATCCTTTGCTGTAGGACTTCCAGTAGGAAGTTAATAAAGACTTTCCAAGGGAAAAGGGATTAGATGTTATGCTTTTTTCTCTCATCGGTGTGTCTTCTAAATTGATTTAGTCGTAGAACAATATATATTTTATTATAAAGTACATATAGGTTTATTAAAGTTCAAAATATCATTAAACTTTAAAATCTTATGCCATTTTGTATGAGTATTGATTTGCTTTTATAGGTAAATATGTATTTGAAAACTACTACAGAGTCAGATGACTAGAGTTAGTATTATAGATATATCTCTTATTAACTTCTCCCAAAGCAAAAAATGATAAATATCTTAGACAGTAGTCGATGTTAAATTTGCAATTATTTAAAACACTTCAACCAGGTTGTTGGGAAAATATGTTAATAGCATGGTTTCATGGCCTGGATAAGCTTTGTTATTTGTCAGCTTTCATTTATTTACTTACCTACGTGTTCAAATATGTCTATTATTTACCTGGTACTCAAAAACGTGTGCTTGTTTAACTGGTAATTTGTAGCTCTTATTAAACTGAACTCATGGCAGTGGATAAACTAGACAGAAAAAAACTGCCTTACTCATCTTTGTGTCTCTAGTGTTTAGCGCAGTCTCTGCTTCTGTTTGTTGAATTGAATTTAGCATTTTAGATAGTCTTCATGGGTAATGAGTTTCTCTCTTTTAGGTTACTAAATTTAGTTTTTTAATTTAACCATTTGAAATGTGTAGTCCTTTGATAGTGATGGTATTTGAATTTACAGTTTTAAAAACCTGCTTATCAAGGAACGCAAAGATAAAATCTTATAAGGGCTGAATGAGAAAGGCTTCAGGATGTCAGTGAGGGACTCTGGGATGGCAGGATGGGTGAAATTTCAGTATGAAGGGTGAAACTGAGCCTCATGCATTCTCCTCCACATAGGAAGTGCCTCCCTCTAGTCCTAATTTAGAAATGAATTCTTATTTATTCCAGGCTGCCCTTGAAGTATGCAGAACATTTTTACAGGAAGATAAAGGTGAAGGAGTCATTATGGTGACAGATCCTCCTTTTGGTGGCTTGGTTGAACCTCTGGCTGTTACATTCAAGAAGTTAATTGCTATGTGGAAAGAAGGTCAAAGCCAAGGTGTATAATTTATTACTTACTGCAAAATAAATATGTATCTATATATTTACGTCCTGTCAGATGTTAGTGATCTCAGTGAACCAGAGCATTGATAAAATATATTTGCCTTGGGTTCTTGTCTTTTTTTTAAAAAAAAAAAAAACAAAAAACAGGTTTATTCGATAATGTGTCAATTGTCATCATGACATACTTTATATTATCTTAATCATGTGTTTTTTAAATGGCTTATAGGTAAAATATATATACTTTTTTTTTTTTTTTGGTGGGAATAAAGGATATTATGAAGAATAGCAGTGAGTTGTCACTTATTTAATAAGTATTTACTGAATGGCTACTGTGTACCAGATACTGTTTAGGTGCAAGGACCAGAGTAGTGAACAAGACAGACACACATCTCTGCCTCATGGACTTTACAGTCCCTGTTCCTAAAATCCTGCCCACATCTCTAAATAAGAGGGCACCCAACTTCTGGCCCAGAGCTCAAACGGGGCTAAGATTTGGGTGGAAAAGTGAGACATCCAGTATCCTAACTGTGGTTACCAGTGAAACAGATACGCGGTCCTGGACGTGGGTTAATGGCTGAGGGTTATTCCGCAGTGTAAAGTGGCTTAGGACTTCAACGTATTTCATATAATTATCTTGTTACTCTGTACAATCATATTTTTAGTTTCCAGCTTGCAAGTTGATAAATTATAAGAGTGTTGGGAATTTGTGATCGAGCTTCTCCATTAATAGTGCTACATAAATAGTGTGCCTTGGGGACAGAATGCAAACGGAATCTAAAACATGACTCGTAGTGTTAATTAAGTATTCCACTTATTTTCTGTTCTTAAGTCACTTATCAGAGTGGATGAAGTATGTTATTGGGAAGTGATAGAAAGCTCTGTGGGCTTGATTCCAGTTCCGCCATTTACCAGCTGCATGAGCTTGAACCAGTTACTTAAATCGCGCAGCTTCGGTTTTCCCTTCTGTAAAATGGGACTATTAATATCTAACTCTAGAGGTTATTAAAAGGAGATAATTTATAGGAAGTACCCAGCATTGTGCTCAGCCTATACGAGGCTCTCTGTAAATAATAACTGTGTTCCCTGCCTCTCATAAAAATTAATTTTATTTCACACTTTTTTGTTAATATCTTTGCTTTTACATACACTATAGCGATATGTATGTAAATATGTATTTACGTACCTTTTTATCTGTGTTTGGATATAAAAGAACATTCCCATTGCTCGGGAAAGGTGTAGTAAATGTCA